ACGGATATTAAATGTGCTATAAGGGGTTTATACGTGCTTAATACGGGAGCTATCAAATGAACGAAAAAATAAAACGGTTTGACAATAATACGGATACAAAAGTTTTAAATGGTTACATATATGTGTATTTACCGGAGTATTTTCTAACTATGATGGAAGAAGAATAATAAATTCAAAACATTCCAATTAAATTTTTTTATCAAAAACTCTATAAAAAATTCACAAACAAACTTAAATGGTATGACCTCCTAAATTTAGTCATGACATGATGGGTCGAGCAGACTGATGAACTCGTAACACAAAATTGATTTGGCCATACACCATTGGATCAGGGGCCACGTTACGTCCCCAAGCACTCAAATCAGTCAGCGTAAACCTCGTAACTTCCAGTCGACGGGAATAAATGTTGTTTTTAGACATAGCAACAAAGTTAAATAGGAATAAGGATATCATACTATCATTCCATGGAAAACTTTCACTAAAAAACATGAACTATATGACCAACTTAATCTATTTGTGATTGTGTGGGTTGACCAAACTGATGAATTTGTAACTCAAAATCGATTAGGCCAAATAACCTTGGATCAGGGGCCACGTTGAGACCCCAAACCAGATGCATCTTCCTTGGACCCCGACTCGCTGACCGGTCAACGAGACTTGCTTAACTTCCAGTCGACGACAGAAAATCATATTTGAATACATAGCAACAAAGTTAAATAGAAAAAAAAAGGGGTATCATACTATATCCCATTTAATTGGTGACACATAACCAATCACTCAAATTCAAAACACGTTATGAAATGGCCATTACATAATGTTCCCATAATGACCTTTTAAGTAGGGCTGGCTATTTGGTCTGAGCTTTTGAGTTTTACCCAAAACTGGACCATATAACCTGGACCAGGACCGGACCCAGATAGCAAACAATCTAATCCTATTTTTGGACTTAGATTTGAAAAAAAAAACCGTTTGGGATCGGATTGAAAATCGGATAAAGACCGGATAAGAGAGCCCAACACCCAAAACTTAACCAACAGAGGCCTTAGACCACTCAAATCTCCACAAGCTCAATCTAAAATCAAGACCGAATTGGAACCGGACCGGGTCAAGACCGGACCGGATCAATTTGAGCCAATTTAATCGATCCGGACCATATAACCAAAAATAAAAAATTATATCAATATGAAATTGAGGAGCCAATTTAATCGGCCCGGACCATATAATCACCCGTACTTTTAAGTAGCTAATATTTGCAAAAAAGTTATATCAATATGAAATTGAGTAAAATATGCTTCAATTGGGAATTGAACCATGCCCAATTACCAATAATATAACAACTCATCCGCTAGCCTATATTAGTAGATGGATGCTAAACTGCACGCACTGTTTTATAGCTCTAGTTAATTTATAATAATTTCAGAAGCCTCAATAACGTAAAGCAATGCTAATATTCATTACGTAAAAGAAGTCTCAATTACGTATGGATTCTGTAATGACATTTTAGAAATGTTACGTAAAATACACATCCATTACATAAGGCTTCCGTAATGAAAGTTGTTTCTTACGTGACAGTTAATTCAGAAGCGTTACGGAAGGCTTTCGTAATACCTTCACACTTTACGTAACGCAAGGTTAATATTCATTACGTAAAAGAAGCCCCAATTACGTAAGGCTTCTGTAATGACATTTTAGAACTGTTACGTAAAATACATATCCATTACGTAAGGCTTCTGTAATGACAGTTGTTTCTTACGTAACAGTTAAATCAGAAGTGTTACGGAAGGCTTCCGTAATACCTTCACACTTTACGTAACGCAAGGTTAATATTCATTACGTAAAAGAAGCCCCAATTACGTAAGGCTTCCGTAATGACATTTTAGAACTGTTACGTAAAATACATATACATTACGTAAGACTTCCGTAATGACAGTTGTTTCTTACGTAACAGTTAAATCAGAAGCGTTACGTAAGGCTTCCGTAATACCTTCACACTTTACGTAACGCAAGGTTAACATTCATTACGTAAAAGAAGCCTCAATTACGTAAGGCTTCCGTAATGACATTTTAGAACTGTTACGTAAAATACACATACATTACGTAAGGCTTCCGTAATGACAGTTGTTTCTTACGTAACAGTTAAATCAGAAGTGTTACGTAAGGCTTCTGTAATACCTTCACACTTTACGTAATGCAAGTTTAATATTCATTACGTAAAGATAGCCTCCATTACGTAAGGCTTCCGTAATGAGATTTTACAACTGTTATGGAAGATGCACATACGTTACGTAATCATTACGTAACACCTGTTGTGTTTTACGTAATGCAACCTGTGAAACCTGCTATAGCAGGTAAAAAAAATCAAGTTACCTTACTTCAAGGCATTGTAGGAATTCCCTATTTTTTATGAATCGGTGGGCTCTATTTATCAAAAATAGCTACTAGCCCAACACCCTGCTAGTTGGGTTTTTCACACTATATAGTTGTCCATTTTACAAACTATACTGGTACTGAATCTATAGGTGAATCTACTCAAGAGAAAAATTAATCCCCCCAAAATAGCCTGGTCCATGAAACCGTACCGTACCGGTCGTTCAACCAAAAAATACCAATATCAAATGCTAAACCGATTGCGGGTATTTAACGATACTAACTGTTGAACTCCTGTTAAACCACGATTTTGCCATAAAATACCATATCGCTTACTTTTCCGGTACGGTCTCCGGTACGGTTTAATGGACCATGCAAAATGGGTGAACCCTTTGAGAACCAACAATACATTCAACCTCTAACATTATAAACTGCAATGTACTTTCGACTTCTTTGCTTTTAGTTATCTAGAAAACACGAGATAAATCTCTACCTCTAGGAGATATTCCCTCTTCTATCCCCTGCTCTTGGGCATGGAGGAAGGTATGGAAAGCCAGACACTTTGAAGAAAATCACCTCTCTATTAGATCTTCATGGGTCTATTGGGATGATGGGCTCATGTGTAAATTCTCTGTAAAAAAGGTTTGGGAAACAATCAGACCTAAGTATAAAAAGGTCATGTGGTACAATCTGGTTTAGAAGTCCCACTGTACCCCAAGTGACAAGTTGCTTGTGTGGCTTATTATCCTCAACAGGATCACTACCCTTGATAAGGTTCAGGTGTGGAATCCTTCAGTGATTAACAAATGTCCCCTTTGCCTCTCTACTGCAGAATCAAGAGACCATTTGTTTTTTTTTTACTGTTCTTATTCAAAGAAGGTTGTACAGGTTGTTTCAATCACAAGTTCAAACCGGAGGAAGTTGGAAAGACTCCTTGGGACTAGCTATTACTCAGTTCAAAGTTAATTTCCCAGCTTCTGATCGTGGCAGGCTTCTTTGGAATACAGTGGTGACTGGTGAGTGAGTTGTGGAGGGAGTGGTGTTGGCTTTTATATGCATGCAAATGAATCTCTGATTTAAGCTCTCAACTACTGCAGAAGGTGCAAAAACTGTTGTCTTTGCTGCAAAATGGCTTTCCTCATATATAAATCGCCATTTCAGAAGCCGAAATGCATAGTATAGTTTAAAGATGTTTCTTTTGTTGTAATCTGGTTTTCAGTTTATCATTGTGTATAGATTTTGAAGTTAATCTGTACTTGTGGATTGGTATTGGTGACGATTGGTTACCAGTTACAATGGTATATAACCATTCTTTCTTAATGAATAAACAACTTATTCATAGAAAAAAAATATCTCTACCTATAAATTACTAAAGCCTCATTTTTAATACAATAATAACATTATATGTTATAAAAAAAACATTAGAGGTGTTATCTCCTCATTTTGAAACATCTTATACTTGGACAATGCTTGCCAACATGAAATGTCCCATGCTTCGAGTACCAATTTATGTATGCCCAACTACAATCATCTAAGTAAACCATTTCTACCAAAAAAAAAACTAAGTAAACCACTATATTATTATCAATCAATAAATAAAACATTATATTATTACATTACATAACTTCTTATCATCTCACTTATAATGTATTTTTAAAACTTATGTGTTCGACCGTATATTCCTACAGACCTTCACTTAAATATTTTGGCCAGTTCATATAAAAGAAAACATTTTGGCCATTTAAAAGGAATGCATGAAAATGAAAGAAAATAGAGCTTTAAGGACAACCACGTATTTGAAAACCGAGTGAATGGTTTTTGACCAAAGATATGTCCTAAAATGATTGCAATATTGTCTACACTAATTAATTAATTAAACTGTATAGACATTTGGACAAAATACTAATGACAAACGCGTATATAATAGATGAATCGTCCATACATGCACATAAGAGCCCTTTTATTATCCTTTTATTATACTATAAAGTATTGGTGTTATAATATACAATTTGAAGTTGTACCATAACATTAAATGTATAAGTTCAAGTTGTACCATAAAGGAATTTGTACTCTTATGTTATAGTACAACTTTACAAGTTGAAGTTGTACCATCACATAAAGGTACAAGTTCAAGTTGTACCATAAAGAATATGTACAAAACAGTATAGGTGTAATCTAAAACTGTACCATAACATTGAATGTACAATTTCAAGTTGTACCATAAAGGTAAAACCCTATAACACCAATACTATATAGTATTGTAAAATTCCTCGTGCACATAAATCAAAGAATGTGATTGAAAGGAACCCTCAAAACAAAATAATTGAGATCTCCTTCAAAATTCAAATAGCATCTCAAGTTTATCAACACACAGTTACTTAACCTCTGTGTGATGCAATTTATTTTCCTCGTTATTGAATCAAATCACCTAATAACAAATAAATGACTACGACATCATCTATCAAATATCAATGGATATATACTTTACATCAACGCAGTTAAAATCACAATTATAGATAGAAGCATTTTGGTGACCTGATAGCATAAAATCTTAATCTTTTAAACTCTAAAGCGTAGATCACATAAGTGGTTTGATGACCTATAAATATAAAAGCGAAAGCTTTTAAATTATAAAACACAATGTTGACTATATTGCTTTACATCCTTCTTGAGAAATCGACAAGTGTCATTTTTAGATTTTTGTCTTTACAGTAATGGATGGTTCAATCAGCATTCTCTAAACGGATGGTTAGTAGTCTCAATGTCCGCCTCACAGAGTGTACATCTGCTCGCAATGTCCCAGCCACACCGCATCAAGTTGTCCTGTGTTAAGATTTGATTGTGATAGACTAGTCACATAAAGCAGCTTGTCTTCGAGAGCACCTGTGCACGACACATAACCTTGTGTGGAAAGTTTGAGATACCGGGAAACTTTCCGGAAACAGGCTTCTGTACATGGATCGAACAGAGAATCCCTCTTTAGGATCGAACACCCACACCAACCTGCAAGGACCCGTAGAAATCTATCAAAGAGGCAAATTTGACAGGAAATTAAAAAGATCAATCCTCTCCCTCACGGCCCCCCTCTCAAAGAAATATTTAAGGGAATATTCCAACTTACAGTTTCCGAACAGGAGATGAAGTCAGAAACCCAGCCATTGGGGAAGGCGGAGATGGAAGCGACTCTTGAGAAAGCTTCTGTTAAGGTCACCCCTCGATTCCACCGATCATGCCAGAACGAGACCCAAGCACCACCACCCGAATCAATATATAGGCGAACCTCCAAAAATTTCTCATTTCCTTCAAGATAGACATCCAAATAGACCATCCAATCCTACCACTTCCTTGCCCAGAAATCCAAATAGAAGAGGTGTCTAGGAACTTAATACTTATCAATCTCCTCCACCATGCATCGCGTTCAAGAGCAAACTTCCACATCCACTTTGAGAGGAGGGCAGTATTCATATATACTTTCCAAATCAAGAATTCCCGAGCCACCTGCTCCAGCTTGTGCTTTACATTGTTCCAACCCGCGTGTTCCAACTATTGTCATAAATATTCTTATCCAAAACATATTTGTAAGAAATATCATATTTTTCTCTTGTGGTTTCACTAACGTAATGCATTCTTCTACTTAAAATTTAGACGTATGTTTAACATAAGCTACAATTCACATAAATTTTTTTTAGTATACAATTTTAGAAGAATAAAATATTATGAATACGTTCTCATCTTAGTTTATTTCGGCAAATGTTTGTGGAAACTATCTGCCTTAACACGCGTTGGCCGTCGGCGGAGGAGTACTGATGAGTGATGAGTGATGACTGATCGAACGAAATTCACTGCAGTTTAAAAAAAAAAAAAAACTTTACGTGCCATTTACGGCACCATGGATATTAATTTTACACGCCTGCTTTACCCATCACCACAGCCGCCTCTTAATAAATAAATAAATAGAGGAAGAAAAATTCGGTCACCTCTATACATACATACATAAACCTCACTAAACAAACCAAAATCAGCACACTGCCGGTTCGTCGCGATGGAGATGAACTACACGGCGTCGCTTTTCCCTGCTGCTTTCATCTCCTCATCCTCATCCGCTACGATGACCGTGGCGGAGGACTGCGACCACCACCACGCGTTGACCGCCGTCGGCGGAGGAGGAGGACTGATGACGGATCGGTCGACGGCGGAGGAGGATAAGGCTCCACGTGGATGCTCGGATCTGGATGATCAGAAGAAGAAGAAGAAAATGATGGGCGGTGGGCAGAAGAAGGCAGAGATTAGTAAGAAGACGAAGACGAAGAAGAAGGGCAATAATAATAAGTATGCGTTTCAGACGAGGAGCCAAGTGGACATACTCGACGACGGCTACCGCTGGAGGAAGTACGGCCAGAAAGCCGTCAAGAACAACAACTTCCCCAGGTCACCCATCTCTCCTTTCTGATTTATCATATATATATGTTAGTAGTCATCTTAATTAAGGTGGTTTGCCTCGATCATTCTTTCAAATGCCCTCTCATTGTCTACTGATCGATCTGTCCTGAGTTGCGTTGTATTGGTTCGATAGAAAAGTTATTTTTACCCCATTCGAAAACTGAAAAATGAAGAAAATTAAAATATCAAAATTTAATAATGCTAACAATGAGACATCAACAACTGATCTCATCTCTTTCATTCTATTAAGGAGACATACCAACTAAAAATGAGTTGTTATATTGTTTGTGAAAAAGTCTAATACGAAAGCAAGTATTTCCCCTCATGTGATCCGTGCGTTCCTTTAGCATTCGAACTTAATTTTTTTTAATTTTATTGTTTTAGACATATAATCAAAATCCAATTCATAAATTTTCTATCGTTTTTAAATTCATAATCGAAATCAACTCATCCGTAATAGTAATTAGACATATAAACAATGGAGGTCCGGAGACCCTCATAATTTGGAGGCCCTTCGCCAGAGGGCCTGCTGGCACACCCTCAGGGCCGACCCTGCATATAACATGTCCATTTCAAGAGCGAGCTTCACCCACATCCAACCCAAAACTCCGTTAATACTTGGATTTACTCGCTTTTACCGAGTATTATTGGATTGAGTATCCGTGATGTGAGTTCAAGTGCCATCGCTACATACAAAATACAACAAGCTAGCCAGAGCCCGCTAGCTGACGCACAAAACAAGTCTGATCACAAGTGTGGGACTGAATTTGTGTAGGAAATATAAATCCTAGATCCTCTCATCGTTTGAGACATGATTGCGGGTTATTTCAGTTTTAGGGATTTCGGTTATTATTTTGGGATTTTCAAGAATATTTTCATGATTTGGATATTAGTCATGATTTTGGGTAGCTATAGGAAACTTGTCTGTTCTATATATTTTGTACGGGTGGGATTATTCTCATTAAGAAATAACCGAATAATTATTCACTAAACCTTAATATTTCCCTCTCTCATAATTCTCTCTCCTTTCCTCACCCAAACCGGCGGCTCCCTTCACCTAGGGATAGCCGAATTTCCCTCTAAACCTCACTCTTCTTCTTCCTCGATCAATCCCTAATTCTACCCTTCTTTTTTCCAAATTATCGTACAAAATTCCCGTTGTCTAGCCCTAGCCGTACGCGCCTAGATCGTTTTTCCTGCAATCTGTGGGCTACCTAGCCAGTTGAAAAGTCAATCTAGTCTTAATTTTGGAGTTGTAACCTCATTCTTCCCAATCCGGCATTCCCTTTTCTTCTCCAAAACTCTGAAACAATCTAATGCAATTTAACTGACGGAGAGTCGTTTCCCTGCTGGTCACCGGTCAAAGTTTTAGTCTTAAGGTTTGTACAGCTAGCCCTAGCTAATCCACAAACGCAAACGTGAGAAATTGAAAATGAGTTTTACAGGAACAATATTAATTAATATATATATGGCTGTGGAAAATTGACTGATATACATAATTCAATGTTCCTTCCTTCCACCAAATTGCACGCTTAACAGTAACGGTCAAACATGTAAAGCTCAAAACATTATCATTCTCTATAATATTCTTAAACCAATACTTTTTTTTTCTTCTAAAAATATAAAATATTGAAATTAGTTTATGTATTTTTGTGATAATACTCTAGCTGGTAGCACAAACATTTTGACCGATATTATGACATGCATTTATATATAGGCTACCACTAGTAAGTGATCTGATTTGAATCGTCTACTGACAGCTCTCACTAGTATCACATCGCACGTTCTCATTCCAAATCCTAATTTCACCACTCAATGATCAAACACAACTCAAACATTGTCATGAATACCCAATACTTTAGAGTTGTTTGGATGAGACTTTTAGGTCCGTTAACTTTGGCTCAAAATAACATCGTAATGAGTTAAATGCGCAAAAAAAAACTTATTTAATAACACTTTACTAAAATAAGTACTTTGAGTCGTGAGTTACTTATAAATATCTCAAATGAGTTATTTGAAATAACTCATATCCCGTGTTATTCGGAAATAACTCATTTTAGCCCTTTGTTATTGTCACATCTCACAATGAGTTTCGTTTTGCAACATTTTACTCAAATGGGTTATTTGGGTAGTGAGTTATTTGAACTAACTCATACCCCCTGTGTTATTTCGAAATAGCTCGTTTTATCACTATGCTTTTGCCAAATACCACATTCGCATGGTTTTACCAAACGAGATACTTAATCCAATTACCACTGGAATACCATATGAACAATTAATGAGTTATTTTACTCTACAATTACCAAATTGACAATTAATCCGTCCACCCCTTATTGATCTATCCTATATATATATATATATGACATGAAATGTGAATAAACACTGATGTATGAGAAATGCAATGCAAGTATTAACCTTTTATTAATATTCTTTGTTATATGTTGTGGCATGCAGAAGCTACTACAGGTGCACATACCAAGGGTGCAATGTGAAGAAACAAGTGCAACGACTGACGAAAGATGAAGGTGTGGTGGTGACAACCTACGAAGGAGTGCACTCCCACCCAATTGAGAAGTCCATAGACAACTTCGAGCATATCTTGAATCAGATGCATCTCTATGCGAACGTTTGAATTATATAATTATTTGCTCCATCAACCATATTTGTACATTAGTTATTATCGTTACATGAACCAACGTCATCATTTTTTTAACCTTCTGTTTGTGCCACGTACCCTCCACGCCTCGTATGGTTCCCCCACCTCTTTGGACCCCTCTGCGTCCTCCCTACGCGTCGTTAACCTGCACACCACGGCGCCCAGCGAACCCCTTGGCTGGGGTTCGTTAGCACTCCGACGCCCAAGTCAGAACGAACTTTCTAGAGAGAGAAGTGAGATGTAAGTTTAGAGAGAAGTTGGAACCTGAGTAAATGAGCTCCACCCACTTCACTATTTATACTCGGGGTAGGGCCGACCAGTGCCCCCCAAATCCGCCCCACGTCATCACCTCCTTAAATGCACTGTACCTTTCTGTCCTCAGGCGCCCTGCCATTCTGACACCAATCTTGGCCCCGAAGGCGCATGGCCCCACCTCTTGTCCCCTCCGTACGTCCCTGGCCGTTACTTCCCCTTTTGTCGTTATGCGCCTTGTTTCAGGCGGTTCCACGACCTGGGCCATGGCCTTTAGCCCTTTTCTTGGCCCAGGCCCAAGCCTACTTCTTAGTTCCTTGCTTGGGCCACTCACTGTGTGTCCCCCAACAATTGCCCCCCAGTTAGGCGCCTACCGCGAGGTGGGGGCCTAACTAGCCCAGTCGCTTTCCGTGACGCCTCCCTGTTTCAGTACACCCTCTTTGGCTCCCTCTTTGGCTCCCTAGCTCGCTCCAGGGCGCGCGCCCTGCAGACGCTCCTCCTTTCATGGTACGCTTTAGGTTCTTTCCCCCATCCTGCCAACCAACGCGTTCTTCTCTCCTCCTTAATTGTTTAAAAAATTCTACGCTCTTTGTGGGCCGACCGTTGGGCTCCCGCCTCGATCACCGGTCCATTCCCCCCTCCCCCAAGGCTGAAGCGATTTCAAACTTTTGAATTTTGAATTCGCCTCAGCCTAGGCGACGGTTCGGTTCCCCTACTCCGCTCCTCTCTCTCTTCTTCGCCTATAAATTGCCCCCCACCATCTCTTCCTTCCTCACTTTGTCAGATTTCCCCTTCTCTCTACTTTCTCTCTCTAAGCTCTCGCTGCTCTGCCCTCCAGTGTTCCTCGCATCCCTCGGCCACACCCCTCGGCCACATTCCTCGGCCACATTCCTCGACCACTTGTGCTAGGCGCCTTACCTCTCTTCGCAAATATCGCTAATCACCCTTGTTCACCTCATGGCCTCCTCAAACCAGCCAGGGTCTCCCAAGACGGCGCCTACAGATGTTGCGCCTCCCCATGCCGTGCCTCAAAACGTGGCGCCTACCAACACGGAGCCCGCGAACGCCCCGCCTTCCAACGCGGCGCCTTCAGCTGCATCTGCCGCTGCTCCAGGTACCTACACGCCTTACCCCTCTTTATGCGCTTTTCAGTTTCGTGCGCGTTACGCCCTACACTGTCTACTCCGTAAGTAGAATCGCTTATCCCCCTCATCTCCCTAGTGCCTTCCGCCTCGTGTTTTGAGCGCCTCCTTTCATCCCAGCCTCCTTCCTCATAAGCGCCCCTCTTGACCTCCTCCTTTTCTTCTTACTTAGGCACCGGTGCGCCTCGCGAGTTTGGGATAAGCCAGTGGGGCAACATGTGGCCGCCTGGGTATATGCCCACGGACATCGACCGAATGTCCGAGGAAGACGCCGGGCCGCCGCATGTCTCCAAAATCCTATATTCCCGCTTCACTTCCCTAATCCGAGCAGCGCAGATGCCCGCCGACTGGCGGTACGCGCATCCCTCACCTATCGCTCGTGTGGGGGTTTGTGGCAAAGGTTGGATCGGCGTGTACCAAGAGTACGCGCGCTTCGGTCTTAGGTTCCCCATCGACCCCATCCTGGAGGGCGTGCTGCATCTAGCCCGGTGCTCCCTTGGGCGCCTGTCGCCAGTTATCATCCTATACACCATCCTCTTCCGCCTTAAGTGCCGCCAACACAATATCCTCCCCTCCTTCAAGCTTTTCCGACACTTCTTTACCATGATTAGAAGCCCGAATTGCTTCAGCCTACAAAGGCGCTCAAAGCTGGGGTACCATTTCATAAGCAAGGGCAAGAAGATGGGGCGCTCGTGGTTTGAGTCTTTTTTCTACGTCCGCCCTCGAGACACGCCTTTCTTCGAAAGTGGCGCCGCCCCGCTGACCCGGTGGTCCTTTGGGGACGAGGCCGAGTTCAATCACCATCCTCCCTTAAACAAGGCGGAGGAAGATATGGCGCGGCGCCTGTCGTCGGTGCCCATAAACCTTGGGAAAGACGATGCCTATGCCCGCTATTTAGCGGAGTTCTATGATGATGGTAGTTTCCTAAGTCTCACTTTCGCACCTTTCCACCTTGCATGCGCCTTGACTGACATGTGTTTTTGTCTTTTACTACAGGCACCGTGTTTACTAACATCTCAGACCTTATACGTTCGAAGATTCATCTCATCCCGCCAAAGGCGCCTCAGAAGCGCGGGAAGACCAGCAAGGCGCCTGCTGGGCCTTCTCAGCCTGCGCCGAGGAAGCAGGTGCGGCTGAGAGTTATTGCTAACCGCCCTGCGCCTTCCGGGGGCGCGGGATCTCCCGCCACGAATGAAGCGCCCAAGCCATCCAACAACTCTCCCATCGATCTTGACGAGGGGCGGGACGCCTCCCCAGAACACCAAAGCCAGGGCGCCTCCCGCTCTCATCACAGCCAAGGCGCCTCACCCCGTAGCCAGGGCGCCACGTCCCAAACTCCTCCTTCTGCCTCCCAACCCCAGGCGTCGGAGAAGAGGCCTGCCGAGCCGCTTCTCTCGGCCGCGAAGAAGGCCAAGCTGGACAATGTGATAGCTTCGGGCGTGCCAGCCAGCCTGGTTATGCCCAGCATTGGGAAGCACACAGGGAATGTCATACCTCCCTATCTTCAGCCGCCGTCCCGCCCATTGGAGAAGGTCGCTGTGGGTGTACTTGTCAGGGAGGCCAAAGATCCGGGCTCCTCCATGCAGATGATGTTGTCCCACGCTGCCGTGATTGAGCGCCCCGACCACCTCAACTCCAACCGCCCTCTTCGCACGATGGCCAACCTCAACGTGCAGGTAAGGCGCCTGTCTGACCGGCTTCCTTCCTTTTTCCTCGAAGTATTTACCGCGTCTGAGTCTAACTTAGTTACTTTTGTGCATGTGTTAGATGATGATGACGATCGAATCCACTGCGCGTGAATTCGATCGCATGGCGAAGGAGAGCTCAGCCTCAGATGGCGCCGCGGAGCGCCTTCAGAACGAGTTGGCTGCTGCCCGCGAGGCGCATGATGCGCTGAGCAAGGCGCGGGACGAAGCGCAGAAGGAGGCCCAAGCTTGGGCGTCTAAGCTCTCCACCGAACTCGAGGCGGAGCGTGCAAGGATTAAGGCCTCCGTTGAGGAGTGATATTCGGCTTTAATATATCGGATTCTTGGACTTTATGTGATTATCCGTGGTATGTTTTAGCCAATTGGTGCTATTTTAGGGCTCGCTAACCCGAGAATGGTTGAAAAATCATTACTGCCTAGTGCCATGAGTTTGATGTATTACAGGTGGAGAAAGTACGAAAAAGGAGGCGATTGCCATTTTGTGGAAATTGGGCCGGACACGGAATGGGCTGGGACTATTGTGGACGGGCCAAAAGAATTCTCTTTTGGGGAAATTAAGGAGCAGGCGGCCGGTTATTGTGTGGAAGGAGGAAATCTCTTTGGAACGGAATTAAGCAAAAGGCTTTGGTGGGAATTGGACACAAAAAAAAAAAAAAGATTGATTTGGGCGGCGGTATTTCTTAGAAGGGAATTAAAGGTCTCTGGTGGCGGAACTTTGAGGCGGAACAGAATAAGAAGGGAAATTAGAGAAGAGCAGCGGGCAGCTTGGGACGCGAGCGGGCGAAATTCGGAGAGAGAGAAAAGCGGCGCAGCACAGCAACAGAGCAAAAGGCGATCAGTTGATTTCCATCGGCGATTGAGATTTCCAAGGCTACCTGAGCTGAGTTCAACGAGAGCGATTAGTTGGTTTGATTTTCTAAACCTAATTAGTTGTTTCTTGTTGATTTAGAACATGATGAACAAAACCCTATCGATTTATCTTAATTTCGTCATGAACTAAACCCCAATTTCTGGGGGAAACACCATAGGATGTAGCTAATTCTTGATTTGATGGATTGATTCATGATTCTTTTCTTCCAATCTCTATTGCATGAAATTTCTTAATGCTTTGTGTTGACTGGCCACCAATACAACGATTTGTAGTTGATTAGGTTATTAGCGACAGTGAAACCCTAATAACTGAACCTATTTCATGTGACATAGTAACTTATCGAAGCGACAGTGGATTAAATAAGATGCTATGCGGTCTTAAATAGGATATCGATCTTCAGACTATATAGTTAATTCATTGAGCTACGACAGTAGGATTTGAATTGATTATTTAGTACGTAGTAATTCCCGACAGGGACAGCTAGCACATTCGTGATATCCTGGCTGTAGAGGTATGGATTAAATTGATTGGAATATGTGAATTAATCTGGATAGGATAGGTAGTGAATCCTGGTGTTTCTCCCAGAGCTTTCTCCCATTGATTTTCTCCCGACAACTTTAATTTCCTTGTTTTATTTAATTATTAGTTAGTAGTTTCATCACTCAAATCATTTTCACCTATAGTTTGCTCCATAGAATTAATAGAATATAAGGTTGTACCAGTCCCTGAGAGACGATACCCGGATTTCCGGTTTTACTACAAGATAGGATTAAGGCATACGCTTTTGCCCTATCAAGTTTTTGGCGCCGTTGCCGGGGACTGCCATACCTTATTTTTGTTGATTTTTGTGAGTGAACTGTTTTGATCTGGGTGTTAGTGTGCAGGTGAATTTTTCAGGTTAATCCTCCTCGTGCATGCCAAGGAGGACGACTGGCAATTTACTGCCACTAGATCCCGAGATCGAGAGGACCTGCCGACAGAACAGGAAGCAGGTCAAGTTAGGGAAGCAGCCTACCACATCCACAACTCCTAGGCCTTCCCTAACTCAGAATCGTCAACCGAGAAGGCAGGTGACACCACTTGTCATCCCTACACCACCTACACCACCGCCGCGCGTCATCGAGCCTGTCATCATGGCTGAACAGGATCGTTCGATCAGGGCTCGTCTGAATCGGAGGACTGGAGCCCGAGCTTCATGTGTTGTCATTCCGGCTGGGGATGCAAACATGGAGATTACCCCAGCCTTCATCAATATGATCACTAATGGGTACACCTTCTCCGGGGCTAGCAGTGAGGATCCTCATGAGCATCTTCGCCGGTTCGCGAGCATTTGTGATACTATGAAGAGCCCAACCGTGTCTGATGATGCCATCCGTCTTCGGATGTTCTCGTTTTCTCTGCTAGGGAATGCATCCCACTGGTTCCAGAACTTGACACCCCGTTCCATCACAACATGGGGTCAGCTTGAGAAGACCTTTTTGGATAAGTACTTTCCTCCTGCCAAGGCAATGAAGAGGCAAGAGGAAATTGTCACTTTTAAACAAGCTGAGGATGAAAGTCTGACCGAGGCATGGGAGCGCTATAAGGAGCTTCTGATGAGATGCCCGAGCCACGGTCTGGAAGATTGGAACGTGATCTCCATTTTCTTCAACGGAATCAGAAGGCAATACCGAGATGCTCTGAATAATGCTTCCCGAAATGGTTTCACAAGAATGGAAGCACCAGAAGCATATGAACTGGTGGAGAAGATATGCTCTGAAGATACTGAATGGGGTAGTGAGATCGGCATTCGAAGGAGAGGAGGTTTGCATGAGATAGACAGAGTTGCAAGCTTAGAAGCAAAGATTGATGCTAAGCTGGATTCCAAGTTCGA